ATCAATAAATATCTTCAAATTGTGGCATGTAAATTCAGCCATAATAAAAATAATGATAATAATAACAATAATAATAACGATGAAGTGATACGAATAATAGTGATAGTGACGACAGTAGTGATAATCATAATAATAATAATATCAATAATAATAGAAACAGTCATCAAAAATCGTTTAAAAAAGCTGAAAAGTAGATACAGACCAGTGAAGTATCAGAAATGACATTAAAAAATAATCTTACATATAAACACATTCTAAATTCCATATCCGTGATGAATAATATCAAAGATAAACCTTATCATATAACGAATATGATTAATCATAATAACAAATATTTACAAACGAAAATTTAGTACTTTCAGTGAAAAAAAGGTAGATTATTGATGAATGATGTTCTAAATATTTGAACGAAATTAGCAGTGCTACAGAAATGGAGATATTTCAGAATGAACGGGAAATATTTCAGATATATCGAAAAAATGAAATTAAAATATGAAAAATGAATGACTTTTCGGAATATAAATGTAAAAGATAACAATAATAATGAATTGCACTCACTCGGCTATAATACAGTAGCATATAAGAATATTTGAAGATGAAAACAATTTACATTACAAAGAGAGACATTCGTATAGAGATGATCTGATGAACAACCAAAGAACAATACCCATTTATAGTTGAATAGATTAGAATATAATTTTTCGAACTGATTTGGAATGATGAATTTTTATAAAAAATTGAATAAAATTCATAAAAACAGTAAATATATCTCAAAAATATTACATATACAATCAGTAATATACTAAATGGAACAGAAATGCGTAGCTGGAAATTCATTTTAAATTCAAATTGAAACTATTCAAAATTCAGTCAAAAATTTGCAGAACTAAGCAAAATTTCCACTGAAAAATTGATTCATTCTGATGGAATAATCGAAAAGGATCGCGCAAAAACAGTGAAAAGCGAACAGTGAAAATTACGGAACCAACGAAAAGTTGAAAGACCAAAAATGAAACTGAAACGTTGACGCAAAGTAATTCATCATCTGTTTGAAGCTAGTGGGATTGTAGCTGAAATTCTGAGTCAGAATCTGAGGAATCGAAAAATTATTGACAATCGTGTGGGACGGGATGGGATGTATGGATAAATCAAATAGGATATTATTATGACTCGTGTTATTATTATTTATTATCATTAATGTTATTTATTATCATTATTTATTGTTATTATTATTTCTGTTACTATTATGACCCTAAGGAGACTGTGAGACAGGGCTGAGCCTCGGACGTGAACTCGAATCGTCATCGTTCAGGTGTTGTTGCTGTTGTTGTCGTCTCGCGTTCAATCGAGGAGGAATTGGGGGTGCGACGCGAGGTGCTGAATAACATTATTATTATGATTATTATCATTATCAGCATCTCATAGAAATCAGTCAAGAAATTGAGTTTGCACACTCTCTCTCACATTATAAATGAGAAATTCGCTAAACAACTGGGAACGAAACGATAGTTATTCATCGAAATATCATACACTGCAATCGAATTGAGCAATGCAAAATGCAAAAACTTTCTTTTNNTTGTGAACAGCTCTCAGAAAGCACAAAAATTCAATCGAAAATTAAGCAAAACAAAATAAAAAAAGTGAATTCACCGAAATCAGTGATCGTTTGGAGTTGTTGTTGTATGGATGGTGGTGGTGGTGCATGATCTTGCGGTGCTTGATCCGAGCTCGATAGACTTCGATAGGAGCTTCCCGCCGTGCTGATACCACTCTCGGCCGGTGTTAACGGTTGATTCTTCAAGTCGAGAGTGAACGGTCGCTGTGGACGGCCTCCAGCAGTTAGCATGCTGACTGCTGAGCATGGCGATAGGATGCTATCTCCAGCTGTATTATTCTCGCACTGATCGATCCACGCCGATTGCATACTCAACGGGATATAGGCACCACCGGACGGCTGATCGACTTGTTGCTGTTGGGGGACATTATTATTGCCTCTAAAAATTTAAGGTGTAAGGTTTTGAATTAATCTCACAATAATAAGAGAACAATAATGAACTTGGGTTACAGTTGAAGGCAGAATAGCATGAAATTCTNTTCTTCAGTAACATCCAACTCAATTTTTTTCGTTGGATTCATTCGGCGCAAAAATTTAGAGAATTTAAAGTGATTTTATGTAACAAATACTTTTATGCGACAATATGAATGCGATAAGCCAACAAAAATGAAACTTACAAAATAAAATAGGCGTCGTTTGTGATGGAACATAACTCGTTGGCAGGTTGAGAGTTAGATGACGATAATGGGGGTGGTGGGGGGATGTTGTTGTTATCGACACGTGGAGATGCGTTCAGCTGCAACTTTTTTTGGTTATTCTTCTCGTTTTATCGATCAGTGAATCATTTGAAATCAAACAATTCCATCGTGCCGTCCCATCTCAGCTAATTGTAAAATTACAGCTAAATCACTTCTCTTTCAAGTTTAAATGCAGTGATATTTCGCAGTCATTTTCAAGAAAAGCGACAAAAAAACATTATGCGATAGACTTAGTACGATTCTATTTTTGTTCGCCCTTCTGAATGCAATTAATTGTTTCGTGCACACTGATGGGCGATATCGCTCGCCCACAGGTTGAGAAATATTAATGATGAGTGCGATTTTAACATATCTGATTGCACAAATGAAGAAGATAAATGCTGCTGAAATTTGTACATTTTCAATGCAAAATTCACTCACCACCCTTCGCTGAATGGTCGATAACGGAACGTACAACTCGCCAGTGTCTTCAAACGTCGTTGATACACCAAGCTTTCCACTGCCAGCAATATTTTCGTACGATACTCCTCCAAGACCTTGAATACGAAGAATACTCGATTTATAATATGCATTTGTTCCATAGAATACATACGCAATCAGTTACAAAGACTCGATCAGTTTAATATTTGAATTAAAATGTTACAATCGAGAATGATTCAAAATTTAGTAAGCACAACCAACCTTCTTCACTACTATTATCAAGCGAATTCATTGAATGATATGGACCGGGATCGACACCACCTTCAACAGGACTGTCCAATGTTACTACTGAAACCATTGAAGTCTATTTTCCGATCGTCAATCAATTTGAAATCATCAACAATATCTGATTTAAATCGATAGATTATTCAAACACTGATATCATGTAAAGAGTGATGACATACTGGCGTTATTCGACTTGACTGCTTTCATATCGGATGGTGGTCGATAGGATAGATTCTCAATGAGACCGTAAGAAGAACACGGTACTGTGTCATCGACCAGTGTGCCTCTTCTTGATGACTGATGCAACGAGGGACTTGCTGATGGACTTCGTGACGTCGTTTTGCTCGTATAGCTGAATTGATATTATTATTCAATCAGAACAATCAAACTGATACTTTAAAACTGCGCCACTGAAAAATAAAAACTAAGAGCCATTTTGCATACCAAACGGAACATTAAATAATCACAACTGAAATAATCAGAACGCATTATTCGTTCAAAACAATCCAATTGTCACGCACCCATTCACATTCGACGTGGAATCCTTCCTCGGTACCGCATCCTTGATCGGGAAATCTCTCGGTGGTTTATAGCCAGGATTCTCGAGGATGCCTGTATCGGAAGCATCCGAAAGCTTCTCGTAAGCTCCCACTCGTCCCATTGCAGATGTTCCGGCCGCATTCCCCCCACCACCTCCACTACATCTCGACAGAATATCATCGGTCGAGGAACGTGCCGATTGCGGACTTCGGCCCAGTAAACCACCCGCTGCTAAATTTGCGTTTGTTGTATTACTTAGACGCCGTTCACCGGATTTTACAAATGTCCTGAAAATTTCCAAAAAAGTCAAATACAGAGATTAAAAAGTCAATTTCACAAAGAATATGAAAGTTCCATTTCTTGTTTCTCTTGAAGATATAGGAATATTAAATTATATGAACACGTTAATTGATAAATGAATGGATGAATCGATTACTTGGAATTCTCGGTAAGTGTAAAAGCATCATTGCTCTTATCCGGTGTGCTTCCCTTGGATTTCTTCCTGGAAATAATCACTCAGTTTTGAATAGCATTAAGAGAATGATAATGATGATAACAGTAACAATGATGATAACAACTAAAGCCGAGCGATACGATAAGAGACTGACTTCTCATTAGGATGTCCTTTTGGGGGACTTTTCTTGGGCGTTGATGCGGCACTCTTTGGTAGAAGACGTGACGGGGTCATCGACTGAAATCAACTATATGTCACTTCCGAATTAACTTGCTTTACCTATTATCGAACCCATAACTGACCAGCAACGTTATCGGAAAATGCGCAACCAAAAAATCGCCATGCAACAAACGATACAATTCGCATTCATCTCACATTTTACGTCAAATCCTCCCAGTGGAATGACCTCATTCTTTCGCATCAACTCATTGAATGAGACAAAGGGAACGTAGAAAAATTATACGACAAATACAAGAATCTCGCCTTCGAGATAATATTCGAGCCAGCTGTTGACTGTCCTAAAGGCATTGGCATCATAACAGGTCTTGGCAGTGTTGCGGAGCCACTTGAACCTGCAATAGTGCCGGGATGACCTCGAATACTTGAATTGAAACGAAATGTGCAAATCAATTATCTGAATAATCATGTGATAAAAAGATTCCATTGGACAGATGGGATATTTCAACGAACGATACCTAACAACTGATATAAGCACGTACCCCCACTACCGCCCGATGCAGCCGGTGATTTATCCTTGGATTTGAAGAAGGGCATTTTACGGAAGAAACCGCGTTCAGCGCCCTCATCTTTACCCCCCTTGCCAGCTGTTCTCGAGCCTTCACCGGTCGCAGAACTCGATCTTGAATGATCTCGCGACCGGGCCGTTCCACCGTCCGGTGGTAACGGTGCAGGCGCTCGACGAGGTGTTGCCAGATGATCCAACGATGACTGATAACGTTGTCCCTGTTGCTCCACCAAATTCTCCAAATCTGCGACTAAAATGCATAATATTCTCTTATGGTATTCTTTATCTGCTGGTAGATGAATTGTCCGAAAGATAAACTCTTGTATCAATTCATAATATTTTGATAGAGAATGGTTATCATTTGTTATAAACCAAATTTGAGAAGAATGTCAGAATCTGCAGAGTTTCAAATCAGTATTAGGCAATACGATGACTCTTGTTTTAGTAAAATCATAGAGATAAGCTAATAATAAGAAGATAAGCTGATTAATGTGGAGAAATCTATTTGTTAGTAAAAATGCTTTGAGAAGAAACGAAGAAACAAGACTGCTGAGGGACAGATTATCGTTACAATAACGCAATTAGTTTTTTAAAGTTAGTGAAGAAAAAATTGGGCGTAGAATCTTTCTGACGCGCGTACGGATATAATGAAGAAACATGCGCAATTTATGAGAAACAACATTTGGAATATTTGAATTTTTTTACGAAAACGAACAATTCGGAAAGTGAAATTTTCAGACGAAAGGAAAAATAAAATTTTTGAAAGTTTCAACATCAAAACTCAACGGGATAGATGAAGATGTAATAGGTGATAGCAGAGGATATCGATATTGATGCAGAGTACTTGTTTTTGTTTTGTTGAGATGCAAAAAGATTCGCTGCATACTTCACTGAATTGCAATTGAAATTCGATGAAAACCACGGAATTTTTGATTGAAAAAAACAAAAAAAGAATGTAGTGAAACGATGGGAAATAGCCATAAACATGCTAAGAATATCACATCTAATTGAAATAATGCAGTGATCAACGAATCAGTACTGAAAACCATCCACCCGCACGAAACACTTCAATAACAACAAATTTACCAACTTATCAATCATGCTGCTTCGAAAACGAAAACATAACTCATATCGCATCATGCATTTCATATGGAAACGTCGAATTTGAGAAGAATTCCATACGAAATTCCGTCGTGGAATTGATAATAACTTCAGATCGTACATTCCCAGTTTGAGAGATTCATTTGATAGATATTGTCTATCTATCTCAGAAGAGATAATCAAATTAGATCCCAATCAACAAACAAACAAATTCCAAACGAAAATACACAAACAAGCATGCATAACACAATCATTCAATCAACAGAAGAAAAAAATGAACAATAAGCATTCAAAAGCACTGACCTGCATTACTCACAACAATATGACATCTCTCATCCGAACCCGATCCATCCTCTTGAGTATGCCTTGAAAATGAGTCCTTCTTGACTCGTCGTGCGTTCACTCGATGCAACAGTCGTGGACTTGCGTCTTTTGGGATTGGCACATCCTTAGCGTTCGAGCCACTCGCATTCGAGCCCCAATAGAGCCTCAACAAATCCGGTGTACTCGTCGACGGCACTTCACCGACGTTCGATCGTTGTCGCCATGATGGTTTCGAGCCTACCGCTACTGGGGGTGTACCGACCATTGCGTCAGAATTCTTCTTGCTGTGACCAATGCGCGAGAGTTTCTTCGGAGTTCTTGGTAGAGTAGCAAGTCCGAACAGGCTCGATGCTGACGATGATAAGTTATTGGCGATTGGTTGTTGGAGATGGTTATTTTGTTGCTGATCGATAAGCGTTTGTGAACCATAACTGTTCTTGTAGGCATTGCTATTATTATTGGTCGAACCCGCCGGTTGAAGGAAATTAGATTTGCTACCAAACGCTATTTCACCAGCTCCACCAACAACCGTGTCCACCAACGACGGTCGCCTCTCACCGTTTGGTTGCACCAAACTTAGACTCCCATTCTCATCACCGTTTTGTGCCGCAGCTAAAAGTTGAAATCACAAGATGACAACCACCAATAAGATATGATAACAACGATAATGATAACACAACAATCACTATAAATAAATACGATCGACATGCTCAAGTTGCACTAGTAGCACCATAATTTAAAATACAACCACGAAATAAACTTCACGTAACGATAGTGAATAATAATAATAATATCAGTCAATAATGATCATGTTAATCTCATTTCAAATGACACTAATACCTAATAGCAATGGCAATCAGAAAACTGCAAGAATGTGTATGTAACGGATGATGACAACGAGCGATTCAAGCCAAAAAACATTTTCGTAAGAAATTCTTTTCAATACAAAACTATTTTCTTCACTAAAAAACGTAACTGGTTATAAATGGATGAAAAATGTGTGAAAATGGATTTTTGAAAACGCTGTGTCAAATTTTTGGTCGTTTACAGATTAATTTCACACGATTTGATGATTTAACGAAAGCAATTTGAAAGACTGAAACAAGTAAATATAAAACATTCAGTGAAGCAATGCTTCAATGTCATTCCACTTACATTTGATCATTTGCAAATTCCTCGTTAACGAAATTTCTGTTTTGCAATCTGAAAATGAACATCACAATAATGAAACTAACAGCGATGATTTTAATGATTCGAAAGAGTGAAAAACAAACAACGATATGCGTAAAACAATCAATGATGATATATTTGTATAATAGCAAGAGAATTCACACTGCAGAACACATGATTTCAAGAATAGCAAAATGAATGAATGTGATTTTCAGCGGAAGAATTGGAAATTAGATTGTCAAGTCGTACTGAAAGAAAGGGTAACAAGGTGATGACTTACCGAACGGCTTCGAGATATCCGAGCATGTGAGGTGCTGTTTTCGTTTGGGTGGCTGAGGTTTTTCTTTCAACGGCTCTCTTGAAAGCGTTTGCTGCAACTCGAACATCATCCGATTCAACTCTAGCTCACGTTCACCTTTTTTCAAACTGAAACCATTTAAATTCAGATCAACTTCACCATAATTTCACGCTTTCGAGATGGGATGATTGATACCTGGGAAAATGCTTATAAAATGATCATAATTTTTTNTTTTTTGATTATGACAATGTTCTCAATACTTAGCTGTAAAATTCTATAACTCAAAAAAAAGAAAATCTCGGAAATTTTAGTCTAATTTCTCATCGCAAATTTCTAAAGCTTTGCTCCCATTCATCGGAATTCTGCGAGTGGAACGAACAACGAACTTCTCTTCACGTTTCTGCAGTTCCGCAGCTTTCTTGGCCATTTCATGTGCAATCAACGTCATTTCCTCCATCATACTTTTACGCAAAGTATTTAAACTATTCTCCAGAAACTGAAATTTCAAACTGCTTCATCAACAGTCAATTGGGATGCGATGAATAATGAATCAGTGCTTTTACGTACCGCGCGATCCGATGAATCAGTGGTTTTGTATTTATCAGCGAATTTCTCGAGCTGAATCAAGAGCTGCTTGAATGTGGGTCGATCGTGTGGATCATCACGCCAACAACTATTGATGATATTCTTCAGATCAGCGGGACACGACGAAGGGATTTGTTGCTTCACAAATGTTCCGATCTGTAGCGTGAAATTCGCAATTTGGAAATTTTCAAGACTCATCTTGAATGGCACTTATTTGGAGTGAAAGAAATGACAAGAGATTTAGAATTTATGGATATTCCACAATGAAGTGTAGAATATTTTCGCAACAAAAACACAGAAAAGGGAAATGGGTCACCTGCAACTGAATCGCACCGGGCCCTAAACCCTTGAAAGGGGTCGTACCGGTAAGAATTTCCCATAATACCAGCCCAAAACTCCAAACGTCCATCGCTTTTGAGCATTTGCGATCCCGAATAACCTCGGGAGCGAGATAAGGCACCGTTCCGACAACACTCATTCTGCAATCATACAACTTTACTCTCATCTCGACAAAACTGAGATGTCGAATAAGATCTCAACAATGTGCCATTCTGAAATGCGAATCGCTCACCGACAATCGGCTACTTGTAATTTCTTTGAAAGACCCAAATCGGCGATTTTCAGCGTGAGACGATTGAGTGCCGCACCTCCGCATTTCTTGCAGAATCCATTCAACGACTCCAAACGATGTGCCATTTGATCGCTCGAACTCGAAGGCACATTCAGAAGGCAATCACAAACCTTCTCTTTGATCAATACTGCAATCACACATATAAGATTACATAAGACATCACTGATAACAACCATGTAATCAGTGATAAGATAATCAATTGGGAATAATCGAGAGATAATGTCATAATAAATGATATGATAATATCAGTGATATTTACGTACTATTAGCAGCTTTGAGGTCTCGATGAAGCACATTCAACTCGTGCAAATAGTTCATGCCCCTTGCGATTTGTGCACCCCAATCTCCGATTATCTCTTCGGATAGTGAGATATCCTTCGAACTCGAACACACATTCGCTAGTGAATCTGTGATCGAATCATATTGATACAGTGGCATTTAATGATCGCTTTTACATTCAGTTGAGACATCCAATGAGCGAATTTCACACAGATACGAATACTTCAATGCTAATTGATCTCATGAAGAAACAATTCGTAACGAGTATTGCTATGAAACATTCCTCTAGACAAATAAATCAAAAAACGATCAGTTCAAACAATCACCATGACAGAGTTCGAGTACCAAACCGGGTTCTGAACCTACCACCACACCGTACATCTCGACAATATTGTCATGACTAAGCATTTGGAAGATACCAGCCTCTTCTCGTACAGCTGCAAAGGATGCTCTCATTTTCCGGTTAGTGATAACATGTGAAACTGATAATGATATATAAATACGGTATCGCCTATCGTAACCTCTCGGTGCTTCATCCTCAATGATCTTTCACTTAAAGAGTTATAAATTAACTGAATTAGATAAATTTTCGAAATTTTTGTGGACAAATTCATCTACATAGAATTGGTTTTATACGCATATTGCATGTTGTACCGACCTTCAATAATTTCCTTTTGACTGAATTTTGAATGTGGTATTTTAACGGCAACATCCTGAAATACTCAATAACATGATGAGAAGAAATCTTTTTTCGAAGAGAATCGAATACATCTGAGAATGAGGAAACAAGTTAGTTCATTCGAGCGAACTAGTCAAATACGAACCATTCCTTTGTAGATGGCCGCTTTGACAACTGAAAATCCACCCGAACCAAGCAATCCCAAAAATTGAAGCTCATCACTGTGGATTTCGGTCGGTTTCCGTTTCGCCAGCTGAACGTGATTCTGCGGGAAGAAACCCTTTTGGCCATCCAACGTTTCACCGTACCACCAGCCATCTTCACTGCAATTCAACGAATATTATCGGCTGATGCGATCGTTATCCACTTTCGACTGATTGATAGTAACTGATCAGCGATAAATGATAAATATAACTCACTCATCACCACGTCGCAACACTTTAATTGTCGATCCACGTTTCAGTTGTAATTCATCGCATCTTCGCGGTGTATAATCGTAGTTTGACTCGACCAAAATTGATTTTTTGCCCCTTTTATTCGCCGCTATTGGATGTCTGTGATGATTTGCATTCGAAACATCACGAAATCTTACATCAGCACCACCACCATCTGAATTGGTTATTGTTCAATCTCATTCACCTATTCTTTTATGTGCATGAACATTGTTTACTATTGCAATCGGTCATGATTGCATGAAAAGCTGCTATTGTCTATAACACGCTCACTTGAAACTGACTGATTCAGATGGATTCTCATTCTTTTCAGACGTATTGTAGTCACTCTCATAGCTATCACATGCGAATANCGTTCTCTTCATGAGTTTTTATCATTCACTTCGTCTCATTTCACTTCACTGTTCGAATCAATTTCTCATTCTGTGGCATACAGTGTTTACTGGATGCGTTGACGAGTGTTGACAGCCGAAATCAACAATACAGCAATTGAATATTATTGCTCGACAGTCAAATGATTAATTATAGAGTGTATTTGATAGAATGAGAATTTGACTTTAATTGTTGGGTGAAATGAATGAGAAATTAGCAAAAGAGAACAATTTTGGTGATAAAAGCTATGAGAGCGATTGGAACAGCAAGAAAAAGAGTGAAAATTCTGTTAAAACGGAAAAAACCCTATCGTACAAGGCTAATGGAAGGTCTTCGAGAAATTCATGAGCATTGGTAGTTAATGCAGTTATCATGCGTCTATCTCATAAATACGGCTCTATTCAAATGTTAAATTAAATATGCTAATTAATACACAATAACTGTGACCGTAACTGTAACAAATACCATTGAACAACAGATGCACTCTGAAAGACCCATTAGAAAAGCGAACAAAAAAGATCAGAAATTAAAAAATTCTTTCTTCAGTTAGGAACAGCTGGATAGCTAAGCTAAGAACGTTTGAGGGTCCGAACAATCGCCTTCACAAACAACTTTTTCACATAAGAGAGAAACGAAATTTCTGTCCCTTTATTGAATATTCATAATATTATTGAATAAATTCATGAGGAAAGATTGAAAGCACTTAATAATATAATCAGAATATTCATTTAATCCAATTCAAACGGATAACTGTAATCAGAATCACGAATCATTAAAAAAAGCAGTGATCAAAATCACTCACTCAACTCATCGTAGTGATCCGTCGAACAACTCTCAAAGATATCCGCGGCCGAACGAGATTTGCGCGTTGGATTGGGTGGGACACCGCAGATGGGACTCGGCCGATCTGGGATATTATCAGCGCACGGAGGCGATAGAGCTGGACTAGCAGCACCTCTCGATGTTGACGGTTTCATGTAGAATGTTTGTGGTGGGGGTGGAGGTGGCAACGGGGCTGCGTGACGTGACGGGGATGGGAGTAATTCTAGTGGCGTGTTCTCCTGAAAGTTCACGCAGCATTTCATTCCATTTCGCTGATTTCAGTTAGCAAATTACGATCGGAAATGGACAATCGTTAAGATTTCTCGGCGTCCACATTGCGACCAAATCAAATTTTCATTCTGGTAGAAACATACGAAATCAATCCATCAATCACTAACCGCTGATTTCGCTAATCGAATACTATCGTCACAGCACTCTGACGATGAGTATGCATGTTGCCGTGGTCGTCGTTCGGGAACAGGAGTTGACTGGTCATCATCGAGTGGCGCCATCAGAGGGCTCCGATGTCCGAACAACACCGTCGCTAATGGGGATTCCGGTGACTCCAGTTTTAAGCCCTGAAACAGTTTTAAGGCCGTAAACGACATGTTCTATGCATCTTTGCTGTTCATTTCAACCAGACAATAGTCGATATCAAATAACGGATAATGAGGGCAACGCAACAAAATGATATTTCGCATCTGCAGTGAAAACACCATTGCTCTGAAAAGTGCGAATCATTCATTCAATGCCTTATAGCTAACCAGACCCCAGCTTAAACTCAAGTCGAATACCTTACGTGATACCCCCCCCCCCTGCAAGCCTTCACCTCACAAATCTATTGAACCATTTTCTAATCAATCAACTCGAGGCGCTTATTTAAGCACCGTCAACATTCTACATTCATCCCGAAGCAATACGAGTACCTAATGGCAATACGAGAATCAATAAAGGCAATATAACATATATCACACTCAAGTAGTACCATAAAAACGAAAGAAAGGCCGAAACAAAGGGAGAGACGAGCTCAATATCCATCCCTTTATCCATTACATATCTCCAACGTACAATGGCAAAGATATAATCCTCTGTTACAGACAATACCAGCAGTAAAATATTCCAAATTAGAGGTCATTTTTCAGGATCTGATTCCTCGCTAATCGTAAGCTAACAGATGTATATCCATCCACACGATCTGCGACACACCATAAACACATCCCACGTCTCAGAAGCAATTGCATTGAAATGTGATCTAATCTTCTCTTATCCTATCCTGCTCTACACCAGCCCAGTGATCTGAACGTTGTTTATCTCATCATATTTACGATTTATTTGTTTACTCATNTGCACTTCATGCGTTTTTCGAGTGTTCATTAATGTTTGAATGCGATGAACTCTAATCTTTTTCTAGCATCAGCATTATACAATAGCATTAATCCAAAACAATTCAAAGATTTAACGATCCCAGTTCACGATTTCAAACAAAAAAATAATCGTAAGGGAAAGCAATTGAATAGCAATCAATTCAAATTGCGCATGAATGTTATGTGCACAACAACATTACTTACATTCATTAATCACCCAATAGCACTGACCAAAATTCATGCGAAATTCTATTCGATATTCAACATAAAATTTGATTTGTTTGTTTTTTTTGCTTTTCCTTATTGTTATTGATACTAAATTAGCAAAGTGCAATGTAATAATCTCTTCAGGGAAATCAAATCGCCCATTTAGACCATATTCAGTCAACATGTACGAGCGATTTGGATTTGAACAGTTTCAAGAGATTTAATTAAACAGGAGAAATTCAATGGTGCGTAGTTATTGCATATGAGAAGAGATCAATAAAAACCAATAGAGAAACGTGATCAATGTCAGTATATTCTGAATAATGCGACTCCGAGTTGAACCAATGCAAATCCCTGAACTAAATCTCTTAAAAACGCCTTCATAGAGTCAAAAATCACGCGAATCTCTGCTCAAAACGCCTTGAATCGGTTATGAGACAGCAATGCATACGCAGTGTTGATAACAGCAAATGATAATCATGAAGTGATGTAACACTGTCACCAGTCAAACGTAAGATTATCTACATTCAACATTTCTCTACAAACGAAATGCATCATCAGCTGAGAATACTTTCATGAAAGCCAATGGAACACATAAGTAAAGGAAATGAAAGAGAGAGATAAGAGACGAATTTGAAATGCGATCGGAATGTGTTTGATACTTTCATAATGCATTGCGATAATAAAATGATAATAACGAAAGTAATAATAAAACACTAATTAAATGATCGACACACACATCTACCAATAAGATTTCTCACCGTGTTGATATCAGCGGAACTTCGAGGAAATAACTAAGAAACATCAACAACAGAGTCAGGACATTATGTCAAGGTAATATGAATGAAAATTACAGGAAACGGACATGATGGAATATGAAGAAAGAAAGAATCTTAGGGATGCGAAGTGGGAATGTTTCTCGTTCAAAACGAAAAATTCCGTTGTCACCTCTACGAAAAATAGTTTTCATTCCTTTCTCAAATACAATACAAAGTCCATCAGAAAAAAAAANAAAAAAAAACCACGATGCACCTATAAAGCTATGTACGTGTTCTATGCATAAAATACACCATAACGATTGGGAAGGAGATATTTTTAGTGAAATAAAATTTCAACACAACACAAATAAAACTAAAGCAATGAATCTAATCGTAGTAATAAGTGGAATGAAAAGCGGAAATGTAATCAGTAACTCAAGTGATAAACTAATCATAAAAGTGCTATGAAAAAAAGCATAACAAATGCATTCCATCAACAGACCAATCGAATCGAATCAAATTGGAGACAGAATTCGATGACAGCGTTACGAAAGTACCAACAATCAAATTACTAATCGCATTTGCCAGTCAATAATATTACGAATGACTGAAATGATAATCAAGTCAACTCGAAAACCAATTCAACGGAACACTCAATGTGACGATCGGGATAAGATGAAGATAAGATAGAATGATATGATACGTTATGATAAAACGAGATGAATGGGATACGATAAGATAAGCTCCGATAAGATCAGTACAGCATGATGCCAGAGTATTAGCTAATTAATGGAGAAGCATTAAAAATGAAAAATGTTCGGTGCAAATTTGCTTTGTATTTATTCATTTTCCGATAAAAACAATTGATTATGTGAGAAATGATCTGATGAGATTGATTATTTGTTGAGTGAGTGATAAATTGATTTGGTTATTTGATTCAAAAGAACATTGATCATTACTACTATTAATTGTAAGAATCAATTAATTGTAACGTTATGAGACAAATTGATGTGTGTAGTGTATGAAAGTAAAAGTCATTTTATTATGTTAGAAATGACTTCTTTCTTTTCCATCGCATTAGCAATTCAACCTTTCGACAACGATACGAGATCAAGATCGGATTAATTAATTAACTCATCTACAGATTGAAACCGTTAACACTTAAGATAACGATATGGGGTGGTGTAAGCTCTTGTTAAGCATAAAGGGTTCATAATAGGCTTGAAGGGGTCTTATCAAAAGCAAAGCCTCCCTCCCCTCACCTATAATTCAAGTAGGGAAGAAGAAGTCCCGAGGATATTCGAAGCATATACCCAAGCGGAATAACAACACATAATCAGTACTCGTTGCTGTTCTGAGTGGGCGAAGGGTGATAAAATGAGTGTAAGTGATAAGGCGCTTGATGAACACTTCGATGGGAAAGTATTTGTACACATATAGACGTAAGCATCGAAAACACAAAATGCAATGCAAATAATTGATTTTTCAATCGCATCGAATGCGAATGTATTTTTCAAATAAACAAAATTTTCTCACCTAACCGAATGTTGTCATGCAATGGTTCATGATGTATATCGCAATGAACATTTCAGCTAAAGGTTTCGCGTTCAAAATCTTAAAAATAAAGTAAACCCCAACGTGTTCGATACAAATCAATGAGCAAACAATGTAATATCTTTATAATATAAAGTACTTTTACCTACAATAGTATCTTCGTCCATATTTGTATAGTGCTAAGACAAAGTAAACATAAGGAGCACTCAGAATATATCATAAGTCTAAGAAGATTGGATTCGAAACCGTAAAAACTGGCTTGATTCAAGAAGTCCAAGCCAAATGAACTAAACAAACGAGGTTATGAGAGCACCAACAACAAGCACCAAAAACATGATCATGATGGGTGATCGATTGATTAATTGATTGATTTCTGATATCAGCATGAATATTTGTAATGAGTAGGCAATTTACAAAACGATCATGACGTTGATGAAATTAATATGTACAGTTGTAAATGGCATCATGTTTCTGGTGACATTTCAGTCTTAAATACGAGAATGATAACAATGATGTGATCATAATAAAAACAATTCATTACATATCAAAATGCTATCAAATGACGAAATTTGCTGACATTTAAATTTTAAAGCAATATGAACATATGCAATGTCAACTATACTACTCGCCCTAATGTCATCGATGTTTTCTTCACCTCAGAGTAAACAAATAATATTCGAGATTTGATTTCGAATAATCGACAGATAAATACTGATGAAATGAAGACGTTTTTTTGAGCGATTGATATTCTTATAACAATCAAATGAACATTCTGAGAGTTGTTTTACACGCTTCATTTGCGAACGAGCACAAACCCATTGAAATGCAATCGATTATTCTCTCATACAATTACACGTGATACATGAGCGATGTTTATGCAGTTCATGCGTTAAACTCGTTTAACTGAAGTCTGTAGAGCGTGATGATGAAAATTCCAAACAAATTACTGCTAGACATAAATGGGAAAGTAGATGCTTTGATGGTATGCTTTGAAAGGTGAACTTATTAAATGTCACCGAATGAGCGCAGTTAGTAATAATGAGTAAATGAATATGAATGAACACTTAACACAGACACGTATGTGCGTTTAATTAATTAATCATTTTACAAGTGCTCAATAAAAGTGAAAAAATATCAAATGAAAATTACCGTAAAACAGAGACAAGAAATGAAAATGAAGAAGAAGAAGCACGAATTTATTTATCGAAAATCGATCGACTACCTAAAAACATCCGCATTATTCCCTGAGGTCTACTACTGCACAGCATCAGCATTTGTCGAATAGCAATTAAAATGGCTCATTCGGACCTAGAACCACTGCGGAATTGTTTGATTTTTTTGATTCCTAGGCCTGGGACTAAATTATCGCGCAAACGAGCGACTTCTCTCGCGTTCCCGCAATATTCCGGGCGATTGCGGGGTGGCGAGCAATCGCTCGAAGGATTGAGGAATCGCCCGGGGAAGTGATTTCCATCTGAAGCCTTCGAGCAATTCATAAGTTGGAGCCGCGAGAAAACGCTCTTATATAGGACAAGATGTTTCGTATGATCAATTCGTATCATTTGCACGAGTTTTGTGATCGTGTGAAAGTGTTCACGACGAATGGAACTAACTAATCATAAAGGTACACAAAATGCGCACCCATCAATTTCTATGATCGACCACTTACTCTTGGAAACAACTGAACTATCAAAAATTATTCGCTATATCACGTTGGCAACAAAAACTTTCCGAATTTTTTTCATCCACAACTGAATCCATTCAAGCGAGCATGATGGGGATTTCTTTGAGGAAATATACTCGCGTATAGGATAAGAAGCAAATCAATGAAGCAGATAAATGACATGGGATAGATGAGAAAAGACGACCAATTATAGACAACCAAATATAACTAATTTATTCAAACATATCATGGATGAAGAACTGCTGATTGATCAGTTTAGAAAGAAGAACACACGCATGGACGACTTATTCTGTTGTTTTCGGATATTCTATACAGGAATAGAAACAAATGGAACAGGAATAGAATTGGGAATGGAACAGAATACTTTTTCGAATCAGTATTGAACATATGCAACATGCGACATTTTATTATTCAATATCGATACTAAATTATCGGAATTTTTATGTTAATTCATTGTCATTGTCGCATGATAATTATCTGATAGACGTACACGCATTCGCCCGTAATATTGTCATACATATAACCATTTTATTCTCGTAATACTATAAAATCTCTCAGAGCGTTTCTGCTCTTATTGACTACAACACGCTTATCAATGAGCACTGACATTTCCAAGGCTAAAAGTCCAGTTTCTGATTAACTTAAATCTCTTTTGAGGTTAGATCAGGCGAATTGGATTGGTCGAGGGGTTCGGCTCGATTGAATGCAGAACGAGTGCAGCAGCACAACAACAGCAACAGCAGGAGTTATGAACGAAGAGAATAAAATCGATCAGAACGGAATCAAATTGGTGTTTTTTTGATAAAACTGATACTGAAACTGAATGAATGAACACTGACGAAAGAATTAATTGAAAATATACAAACAGAACACATTTAATAATATTCAATTGGAAACTATCGAATAATCGAATAAATACGAAACAAACCAAAGCAATTGTTTGCTGGAATTGAAAACGTTTTATTATAAATCTACAATCGAACGAACACTATGCATCGTCGTTGTTGACGATGGCGATGGATGGATGGCTGGATGGATGGATGGATAGTTGTTAGATACTTGCAAGTAGGTAGTAGGCATGCCAGCAATTCCATTCCATTCCCACAACACATCCACTCCTTCTCGACTCCTAACCCCGTGAACGTCTCTACACTCGCCCCACTATCCCATTCCAGCGTTTCCCACTCTCGACACCTCCAAAAACCCTCCGGCCAGCTAATCGCCTCACCCAACTCGCCTCGAGCTTCATCCGACTTTCTCGCTACCGTTTTATCCTTTTCCCCTCGCAACCAATGCTCTTCGAGTACTCTCTCTTCCACAATCTCATTCTCTAGCGTATCTCAGAGTTTCCTACTATCTTTACTTGCTCTCAATCTCGGTCTATTGTGTTTTTCGGATATTTCAGTGCTGTCTAGTGTCCTGGTAATTCTGGTAGTTCTTGAGCTTTAGTTTCAGTGTTTGTTTCTTTGCCGTTCCGTTGTCGACAGCAAGCTTCAGCATAGGCAGCAGTCAGTCGATAGATAATTAAGCGAGCGAGCGAGCGATAGATAGCCTCTAACCAACTCTCTTCACCGTTCTTTCCTTCTTATTCTCCCTCGACTCGGCTCTCTCTATTAACATCTCACTAAACCAACACCATCCACCATATCCACATATTCATTTGTTTCGTTGTGATTCTCTCAAAGCAGCACCATCTCATCAAAAAATCCCATCGATCTAACACTATCCATCCTCATTAGCGATATCCATCATTATCCTTCGAAACTCTCAAGTTAGTTATAGTTAACTAACGACGGAGTGCAATACACTCAGAGAAAGATAAAAGATAACCGATAGCAGTAAGATATTCGGATGATGCAATGCAGAGATCACAAAGAAGAACATATCGAGCAAAGACTATGACAGAGAGAGAGATTATTGCCAGCCGTGATCAGTTATCGCTCGATCAGACAGCCGTCGGTCAGTAGTCGTTCAGCCAGCTGGCTAACGAACTGAACTCGAACTCTATTAACTAACCAATCGACCAACTCCTCAATTGACGTCCCTCTCTAACGAACCAACTAATTTAGCTAATTGCTTCTTCCTTCTAAAATACTCATCTATAAGAACACTTCATTTACTATGTATTTCATATATCCAACAGTTTCGTTAGGTCTCAAAAATCTTTATTTTATATCTGATAATGCGAAATTTCATCAGTTAATCCCTTCGTTCTCTCTTCATTTCACATTTCACTGCTTCAGATTTCTCATTTCAGAAATATTTGATGCGATGTAAACTCCATTTTTCAATTTTTTTGTCAGCAAATCCAGGCTTGTAAAGACGAACATCTGAATGCATCAGAAAAAAAGTCTCAGTTCATTGCCAAAAGATATATTAAGTTGAAAGCAATCAAACTACGAGAATGCACAACTACGGTTGATCTCGATGAAGATTTATTTCATTTCGAGAAATCGTTCATTCTCTTCACCGCATTTGTTCTCATTTCACTCATATCTCCTAAATTAACAGCATTCGAGCAGTTGAAACAGTCAGTATTAAGAACGATTAGAGATTGATGAGATGTTAAATGAAACGAATAAATCGAAATACTGACGACAAAATGAACGAACGAGACGAGATAATTGAAGATAAGAATGAGACGAGAATGCGCAATGAGATTCGAAAACATTCAATTTCATCTCATTTCATTCGACATTTCAAATTTCACATTACAAATGACAAAAAACTGAATGAACGATAATGGAATCACATTCGGCGAGTTCAGTGAGTATTCAGCGTAAAAGAACACAAATGCTTGTCAGACTCGTAAATGAGCATAAATGAAAAAGCGTTTTGAATACGGAGTAAAATCTACAGAGATAGTCAGACCACATTTGGGCTCTGATTGAGGCTCAATCAAAAAATAGACGATTCCTTGGTATGCACATCACCAATCTTGGCTTTTTGTTCTCGATCGCACTATTTCAAGTTGATTCAAGCCATACACTTTAAAAATGAAGTACAAGAAGCCTCTATGAACGAATGAATAGATGAATGCAACTGAAATTGTCGAACTCAAACGTTTCGAGAAAAATAAAATAAAACATTGACTAAACGATGAAGTATTCATCAGACACGCTAGCTCTATCAATAAAAGGTATTCATCTTCAATGAAAATGCATGAAGTCTTGCAAACATCAATGCTGAGCATTTGCAGTTTATATCAGACCTCAAGCTACAGTCACAGTTACGAATTCAATCAAAGTATCGATTCATCACATCACATCTCTCCTACTTCACACTCTCCTTCAGCTTGTCCCATCCCCATTCATTTTTCTTCGTTCAACTCAAAAAATCGCTCGCTCGTAAATCAATAGCTGAAGCAGTCACTCAATTTTCTTGACAATTTGAGCAACTCTCTGCGAGAATTTACTCGATGCGGACTATTACACTTACTGCTTATATGCTGCTGTTGGTAAAGTTACTATTATAAAGCCATACATATGCACTAGTCATCCCGTAATCAGTAAGTGAACACTCAGCACTAACTATTATAAAAACTTCAAACTAGTGATCTTACTATTGAGTAGAAACGAATCTAAAACGATGAAATGACAAGAATGAAGGCAATTCTGAAAGAAGAGTCAATGAGTAAGAGACAACGTGATGACGAAATGATAAATTTGCACGATTTATCAGATAACATCTCTTACGAAATCAATGGACTGCCTTTGATGCTGCTGAAGAATATTCCGCATTCATTCATATGCTGACAATGAGCAAACGAATAGTGAAGAACAAATTGTCATGATATTATGCGCTGCATTGCATTCTTTCCGTTCAAAAATATCAGAACCGTACAAAAATGTTCATGATTCTCTTTCTCTGCATCAATAAAAACATAATAATACAAAAATTGAAGTGAAAAGACTGAATGTTACGAACAACAAATAATAATAATGACGAAGATGATGCGATGATCATGTTTTATTAATGTGTTTCGAATTTAATATAGAGTGGTTCCATGTATTTCCTTCCCAGCAACCGGAAGTACAAAACTACATTCAAACACGATAAACACTCCGAATGACAGATATTACCATGTAAAATAGATCACTTAAAATGCGAAAGACATTAATATTAAAAAATGATTAATAATGATCAATTGATATTCAAAACGATCGCCATCTTATTCCATAAACGCAAATGATATCATTCATCGTCATTCAGTCTTATCAAATACTTCAGAACAGTATCGACGAATCAATATGATCAATCCTAACTTGCTACAGTTTCACTACTATAGTTGTAATATAATACACATATAATGTAATATAATATACAAAAGTTGTAATTCTTTGAAAATAAACACCGCACGCTAATGTATACAACAAAATATCTCACTAACTTCAACAATATCTCACAAATTCCAACTCTCAGTATCTATCTCACACGATCAATCACAAATACTAATGAAACTTCCCTAACAATAATAATAATAACGATAATCGTACGGTAATAAGATTATAAAATAATGAAAGGATGAAATTAATTTGTTCACATTCAGATAGGAATGTGAATAATAAGTCAAATAATGTTATGATGACGTACGTTCCTCTTAACCAGAACAAAAGTGCTTTACAATAGAATGACAATATAACAAAGCATGGAATAAAATATACAATAGAGACAAACGATTTGCATTCGGATTATGCGATTAATTGTACGACAATGATTGCATTTGCATTGCATCATCTCTTAATACTGTTAGCCAATACAAAACTTTATTTGACTGCACAAAACTGATGGAATTTCAGTCGACTGGACTCATTGCTCGATGGAGCTAAGCGAAATTCGATTGCACTTTTCGAGAATTTTTTGCAAAAAAAGAAAAAAATTTCACGAAAAAGACCTCAATTCAGTGATCGCAACAAAAAATAATGCACTCTCGATCAGAACATTCATCACGCTCGTCGTATTAAAACAAAGTCTCTTTCTTTGCAAGACGAAAATGTTTCGAAATCATCGGGGAACGATGAAATTTGCTTGGAGTTACATACAGCAGTGAGTGCATTCTTAGTTCGATTTCACTGCATCATTTTACAATATATCAAATGAAGTTAAGTTTAATCTTTGGCTGCTTGCTATAAGCTACAATCAGTTTATCACCCGAAAACACTGCACTGGCATTATTCAAGAGATAGATGGGTGGATGTACGTATGCCAGCTGCTGAAAATGATAAATCTGCTTGAAGCTGGATGTATTGTATCGATCGATGATGGACATATGCATGAATAGATGTATGGATGATGCTTAGATGGATTATGTGAAAAAATCGAGAAGTGACGAACAAATGTCGGCAAGTAACACATTTTGAGTGGCTGAGAGGAAAAGACTTCAGAATATCGCGAAAACTGAACTCTGCAATAAACAATAGTAATTATTATGATAATAATACGATAAGTAGAAGATATCATTCACAAATTGCGATGAATATGGCTAAAGTGTAAGCGTTTAGGAAAGGGTTCAAGAAAGTCGAAGATTTACACACTGAGCGATTATGTGGGTAGATGCAGTTTACTCCGTGAACGAATTTTACTCACAATCAGTGAATTTTCTCGATCAGTTGACTGATTTTTCGGAAAATTCAGCTCTGAATTTGAAGGAAAATGAGCGATTTAGTTTCGTATGTGCAAGAAGAAACATGAAAAATGGATAATTTTAACTGTTGCAAGACGACTTGGAACATGGAATGCGCAATGGAAAACGCATGAGCAAGCGATAGAACACACGAATAAAATCAAAGAAAACCATTCGAGTGGAACGAACCAAATTTGGACGAAGAAGGAGAATTTAAAGATTGAAAAGAAAATTCTTCAAAGAAACTAAAGAAAAGCGACGAAAAAGTTATTGGAATCGAATCAAAACGACGATGACAAAAGAAGCGAACGATTCGCTGACCTCACTCAACATCGGCTCGTTCATGTAGACTTTACTCGTTCTGAGACGATTCAGAAAGCCGAAAAATACCATAGCGATTGCAGAAATCAATCAATGAGCAGATAATAGATTCGCAAATATCGTTCAGAAGAAGTATCGCAATTCAGGATTCAGATCAACACACGGTTGCTGTAGATTTGTCGATTTGTTCAAATTTCTCGATAGTTCACTTTCTGAAGAACAGATAAATAAATAAGCAGCAAAAACAATTACCTAACAAGTCGCTGAATACAGACAAAGTGCGTTGGGTTCTAAGCAACTTTCGGACTCTAAAATTGTTCGCTCAAATTAATTACATTACGTACAACTGAATCAGGACAACACACTCGCCAACTATGAAAATATTTAAGATGCTAATCAAATTGATTGCGACAATATTATATCAAATAATAACTATGACGACAACACAAATAACTAAGTGAACACTAATAATAACTACAGTCAATTGTACACTGTCATGCATCAAGCATGCATGCGTGTTCGCATGATGATTGCCAGATAAAGAGCTAAATAACATAAAAATGTAAATAGGATGTATGAACCTCAATCGCAACAGTAGATGGCAAATACATTCACAATCAGCTCACACAACTATGAAAGCGATAGCACAATAAACCACTGAACGAACGCAAAATCA